ACTTTTTCCTTGGAAGTTACCTTGGGACCAAGGGGGCCTTTGCGCCACATTGGTGTGACATCGGTGTTGCAACTCTGGTTACTGCACCTTTTATCATGGTCACTAAAGGTCCCTTTGCATTGGCGGCTAGGGCCTCTCCTACGTGAACCAGTGGAACTTCCATTCTCACCATGATCACCATCCCTAGCTACTGTGTTGAGGATTGTGCGACCTTTCATCGTTGGCATTTGAAAGTTACCAGGATTGCTGTTGATGCTACTGTAGGACTTGGGGTGAGCAGCAAATCCCACTGCAGAATCAGCAGCATATTGAGTATTCATGTAATGAAGATGGTTCCCCATCATCTCCTGTGGCCAAGATCCATGAAGATTGTCTCCATTTAGCCTCCAATGGTGATTTAAACCAGCATTAGCCATATCTTGATGATTTGTGCCCTGTATAAGCCAAGTTTGAGATTACTTTTTTATCGGTTAATTAATGATCTTATTGTTTAACAGCAACAACAGCTAAAGGAAAACCACTTCCATGAAGATGTGGAAAGGTAATTAATTAAGCATGTTGATATCAAATTTCATACAATCAATAGCTATTTTCACCGGGAGCAATTGATTAGTAACCCATGGATTCCTAATTACATGATGTGATTGTATTTAATTAGCATTAGATCATAATTAAAACAAAATGGGTTCTGATCTTTCTTCTTTTTTTTTTCATTTTCTAATTTAGATCTACAAGTTCTTAAGCAGGATTCTCACTGCTATGCTTTCATTATCCTTAGTATATGAATCTATTTCTTTATTTAATGATTTAAGTTTAAATTATAATTAACATAGTTTATATTTAATTATTATATATAATTAAGATATCCCCGTCAGATTTAACACACAAGTATATATTAACTTAGCAATTGTAGTACATAGATAAACATACCTTTGGTTGCCTTTGTACATGGAAATTAAATCTTTTTTTTTTCCTTAACTCTGCAACCATATCTAAAAATTAATAATGAATATCATAGTTCAAATATTTGCTGAGAATGAAATTACTTTATATTTGAAACATTTATGGAAATGCTTAATTAATTTTCCTTTCATTTCCTAAAATTAATGTTTCAAGTTATGAAAAAAACAAATCCACTCAAATTACCTAGCTACCCTTCCATTTCTCATTTCTATAAAGTTTTGAATTTGATTTATATATATATATATATATAAAGAAGCAACCATCAATTTGAAAAGGATATAAAATGAGCAACTATATCACGGTATCGTTGGTTATTGTCATGGATTATTTGAAGCTTATCCAAAATCAAATTAATAAACTATTTATAAATTGGAATAAAATTATCATGGATATATCAAATCAATAATGAACAAATTTAGACCATCTTGATAGAGCATGGTATCATTTCTGAAGTAACAAAATTATGTAAGATAATTCCTCAATTGACTTTCATGATTAGTCCTCTATGATACTTGACACAATGGATAATGAATTTGAGCAGAAATTCATAAGAACTGGGCAGAATATTCTGTTTACAAACTTCACAGTAGTTGATCAAATCAGTGTAAGAGTTATACCTGTGAGCATGGAGCATTGAAGCTGAGGATGGCTGGTTGATGGGTCTTGAGGGCCCTATTAGACCTAAAGTATTGCTCAAATTGTGGTTGATCATCATGATCATCTGGCAATCCCAATTTCAGAGTCAAATCCACATTGCTTTCTGTGTTATTCTGATGATCACAGCCCCCATTCCAATGATCAGTAGCCCGATCAAACCACTCGGAATCCATGAATATTCTTTGCCCAGATCAAAAACCTTTGCAGACAAGAACAGCCAACAAATTGACCATGCAATAATATTATGAGATAAATTCATAGAATCATGAAAGATAAGAGGGAGAGGTGGGCATGCAAGAAAGTTAAAAGTGAAGCACTCAATGGATAATTGGATACCGACAAAATGGCCTGGAAGACTGCTAAAGATACTAGATACAGACACACTTTTAATGTGAAGTAATAACAAAAATCATCATTTACAGACAAGCACACTTACTATAAATTCTTGAACGTATAGTACAGTACTTACTACTGTATAAATTTGTACTTGATTTAAGGTTGTTTGTCCCTCCTTGAGGTTTAGAATCTTATCATCCGAAGCCTCAGATGATTTGTCTCAGATCCAGTGTCAAGCGTGCGTTTGTTAATGATAATACGGTGCACCGTGGCCTTGTTCCCGCAAGAATAAGCAGATCATCCAAGGTCCATGCAAATAAATAATTTGTTTTATATCTCTGAAAGATGACGACGGATATCATAATTAATTGTTTTTTCAATTATTATTTTTTATTACACCGTGAGAGTTATTCTCGAGTTAGCTTACATGTCAACCAGTAAAAATATTTTTTTTATGTTGATAATATTTTTTTATTTTTTGTTTTTCTTTTTGAAAAGTGCAAAAAGGAAAATTAATAGAAAGAAAAAAAAACGTATTTTAACTTTTATGCAGTGTGATTATTGTGATATCAAAATTAATCTGATTATTAAAAAGTTTAAATTCGGTTACGAAATTGTAAATAATTTAACATAAATCTGTACAGTACTTATATATATATATATATATATATATAGAGAGAGAGAGAGAGAGAGAGAGAGAGAAGCAGATTTGTTTTAGAAGAAATTTATAAAAACAAAAAACAAATAAAATTGAATGAATAATTGTATATCAATCATGAAGAATATATGTATTCGTGGTTTTATTTATTTTATTAATTACTCAATTTCAATGCTATACTCCATCTCAAACGGACTAGGACAGATTTGAGAAAAAAAAAATTAATTGTTTAATTTTGAAAACTATGAGAAAAATTAAAAATCTTCCAAATAGATTCTTTTATAAATTGATTAGCATACCAAGATTACTTTTCTGATATAGAAAGAATGACGAGTTAAATCAAATGGGTTTACAGGTACATATTTAAAATAGTTTTTTTTCTATGAGAAATATATTTATTTTTATGTTAAAAAATTACTTTAATTCAGAAATTTAAACTATGATTAACTTTATATTATCTTTTAGCGCACTTTTTCAAATAAAACCACTTGTACTTAAAATTTACAAAATGATATATAAAAAAGTGGTGAGATTTAAATCCTCAATGATTGTCATTAAAGTTTTAAATCATATAAAAAATATTTTTAATTCAAAATATTAAAATGTTAAGTAACGTTTAGTTAAAATATAATATCATTTTAATCTCTAACACTCCTTTTAAAAACATTTTGCTGACACACCATCTTCTCATCTTAATTTATGTTCCAAGATAATTACTTTCTTAACACAAACATATATATATATAGTTGATGAGAATATTGCTAAATTAATCTAGGATAACGAAACACCGATCACAATTAATATATAGATTTTAGTTCAACACTACAAGACAATCATAAAAAAAAATTATAAAATAAAATAAAACACTAAAATGTCTTTAGCACAACAAGACTTATTTTAAAGAAAATTAAATATTATTCCGTTTAGTGGTTGCTCCTCGGGCCCTCCTCCCTCCTACTTTTTTTGTATTTGATACTGCATGCTTTGCATAAACACTTTATAAATAAAATAAAAACTAAAATAAATAAATATTAATATATATTTTTAATCATAATTACTAAATCTAGTTTAAGGGAACAACTTGAGACCTAGTTGATCCATTCCATTGCCAAGTTATTTAAAAACAAATCTGTAAGAATTTATCTAGTTGATTTAATAGATCAAGTTATAATTTTATTGATATATTTTTATTTTTTAAAAATATTACTTATAAAATAAGTTATTTTAATTAACCCAAATTAAGCATTCAACTTATAACTGGGTTTGAAAATGAGTGCTCAGAAACATATAATTACATTCAATTATAGAATATAATGCTTTGTTATATATGTAACTTTTGGAAATTAAAGGAGTTAGCTGCGGTCCAAGGGGGGCGTTATATACTTAATAACCCTAATTAAATATCACATAATAAAACAAAAATCTATGTTTTATATTTCAATATTCTATTTTGAAATATTAAACTAGTTTTTGGTTGGTGACATTACAATATGAAAACGAGGATAATTTTTTTTTTCCGAGGCTACTTAATTATTTCCATAAACAATTAATTAGAAATTCATATTTTTATAATAACTAACCGCAATGTTAGTCTGGCACATATAATTTTGAAACAATACCAATAATTATATAGGATCTCATATATCATCTTTTTATAGTTGTGTTTGGTTAATATTCAGGACATAAAGAATAAATATAGAAAGAATAGAAATATATTTGGTTAGTAAGACAGAGATAGAGACAAAAATAAAAATAAAAACATCAACTAAATTTGTTTTTATGATAGTTTTGGAATAAGTTCAAAACAATGTCCTTTCTATAGTATTTAAAATAGTATTTTTTTTTTGTTTTTTATGAGAAACATATACTTTTATATTAAAAAATCACTTTAATTCAAAAAATTAAACTATGATTAATTTTATATTATTTTTAGCGTACTTTTTCAAGTAAAATGTTTTGGATTTAAAACTAACAAAATTATATATAAAAAAGATGGTGATTCTCAATTTATCATCATTCAAGTTTTAAATCATATAAAAAATCATTTTAGTTCAAAATATTAAAATTTTTAGTGATGTTTAATTAAAATATTATATCATTTTACTCCGCTCTATCACTCAAAAACATTTTGCTGACGCACCATCTTCTCATCTTAATTTTTATTTCAAGATAATTAATTTCTTAACACAGACACATATATAAATATAAGGGTGAAGAGAATATTGCTAAATTAATCTAGGATAACGAAACACCGATCACATTAATATATAGATTTTTCTTCAACAATTGAAGACAGTCATAAAAAAATTTAAATAAAAAAACACTGCAATGTCTTTAGCACAACAAGACTTATTAATTTTGAAGAAATAAGCACTAAATTAAGAGACTAAATATTATTTCGTTTATTGGTTGCTCCTCGGGCCTTCCTCCGGTCCTCCTCCTTTTTGTATTTGATACCGCATGCATTACACAAAGACTGTAAAAACAAAGTAGAAAATAAAATAAATAAGTTTTTATCATAGTTATTTACTGTGTGCCCAGAAACATATAATTACATTCAACTATTGAATATAATGCTTTGTTATCTAAGCAACTTTTGGAGATTAAAGGAGTTACCTTCGGTCCAAGGGGGCCGTTTCTCCACATTGGAGTATTCCTTGTGTTGCAGTTAAAATTTGTACATCTTTTATGCGGATCGAAGTAACAAATTTGGCGTGAACGTCTTGGTCCTCTCCTACGAAAGCCATAGGAGCTTCCAATCTGTCGATCTCTGGACGAGCCATTCGATAGTGTGTGGGTGTTCAAAGTCCTCGATGGAGTCCAAAAGGTGTTGAAGGTATTTGAGAAGTTTGAAGGGTGTTGGTTCCCCTTGCCTCGTGCCACTGACTTGTAGGTTCGGCCACCTTGAGAGTGGTCTCCTCTGACTATCATCCCAAAATCGATCTCAGCAGCAACACTTCCTCCGCCGCCACCACAAGCAATCCCATTGGCATTTAGGCCAGCAACACTTCCTCCACCGCCACCACAAGCAATCCCATTGTTAACTTTGCCCAAGTGATTTAGGACAACATGTTCTTGAGCTCCATTGGTTGGTCCAAAGTTTATCCCCTGTTGGAAAAAATTGTTAGTATTTTGTTTTAAGGTTTCTGTTTGTTGTTGTTTTAGATATTGGATAGAGAAAAGTGGTAATGCCTATAGAATTAGGATAGCCAAGTTAAAGAAGAGAAACTGAATGTATGAAAATACATTGTAAAGCATATACAATCGAAGAAGTTGGTACAACATAAACTCATGAACAAAAATATATGGAAAACTGAGGGATTCAAGGATTACTTACAATGTAGAAGAGTTCATAAGTAATAACCCTAATTAAATATCACACAATAAATAAAAAAATCTATGTTTTAGATTTCAATATTAATTTAAGGTTGAGAATTTAGATAAATTTCATTTTGAAATATTAAATTAGTTCTTGGTAGGTGACATTATAATATGAAAACAACCATGATTTTTTTCATTTGGGGCTACTTAATTATTTCCATAAATAATTAATTAAAAATTTATAATTTTAGAATAACTAACCGTAATATTATCTGGCATAGACTATTTTGAAAAAATACCAATAATTATATAGAGATCTCACGTATTGTCTTTTTTATGGTTGTATAAAAACAGATACAGAGATAAAAACTTAAAATAAATTTATCTTTACAATAATTTTAGAGTAAATTTTTATCATTTTAAAACAATATGTCATCTCTATCTCTATCTCTATCTCTATCTCTATTGTTTCTATCTCATTTGTCTTGAGATAATAATCAAATACATACTGATTATGTGAGATATGTAATCATTAGTCATATCTATTGGAGGCCATATGAATCTATGATATAAAAAACATATTTCTAGAATATAAATTACACATTTTGTTTCTTATATGAATTTGATCACTCCATATAATGAAAATTAAGATCAAAACTTCCAATACCAATTTTGCTATAGGTTGCACATACACATATTCTGCCATGTTTTTTGCACCCATACAACCTCAAAAATGTTGCATCGTTTGTAAGATCGAATGATATACCTTATTGGCACTGGTGTTGGAGCCAGCATTGAAATTGAAATTGGCAAGATCAGGAGTAGTCATGGGGGCTGGGGTGTTGAACAAATCGATTAGGTTTATTCGATGACTTCTAGCAGCATGATTTCCAAAACCAAGCTTCAAGGTTAGGTCCACCACGTTTCTTGCATCATTTTTGTCATGGTGGCACCCTTTCAATCCAGTTGCTTGATGAAACCTTCGGGAATCCATGAGTGTTCGAAGTCTTTTATCTGCAAAAACAACCAACCAAGCCCGTGAAAAATTATCAGATAGCTTCTTTGACATATAATTAAGAGATAGCTTCTTCGTTTTTTTCTTTTTAACAATGGATGCCTTTTGGCAAGATGTAAAACATGACAATCCACTGTTTAATTACATGACAAGAAAGCAAAAAATACTAGTGAGTAAAATGCATGTCAACGAGTGAAGTTAGATGCATGTTTTCTAAGGGTTTTGAGCCCTTGTATAAGTTGTTTGATTGCAAGCAACAAAGGTGCAAGAACACATTTGACAAAGACGAAGAACAACAAAAATTATCCCTTCACATGGAAAAAGGCATGGCTATACAAAAACAAAGCCAAGGGAGAGACTCAAGGGGTGGGGAGAGACTTACAAGAGGCTAAGGTATGGAACTAGTGAAGAGAAGGCTATTAGCTTACTAGAGGGTGCGAAGTGAAACGAAGAATGGTAGCCTTAATTTATAGGGATTTCGAGGACATGGTATATATGGAAGGTAAGAAATGTGAAAGAATTTTTTTTTTTTTTTTTCATTTGGAGATTATATCAAATCTGTATTTAAATTAAACTTTCTGTAGATAATTTTATAAATTCGACAGTATATTCATTACATTAAAGCAATTCAATCAACAACACTCAATTGTTATACTTTTTTTTAAGGTTTTTTTTTTAGTTGGGATTCATCATCTTATCAAAATATGAGCTACATGGCTCATATTTTCCACCTTTACAGCTAGGGTGTACGTGGATATATAGTTGGATTAGATTTGTGCCTATAATTGTATATAATTTAATTTTTAACATTTTATAAATTATAAACTTAATCTTTTTTTTACTCGAGTAAGTTGAATATATTGAATTGGACTAAATTCTTTATTAATATTATAAATATCAATGATTTAAGCTGTATATATTGTTATTTTTTCAAGACTTGGGTTTTTAAAACAACCTACAACATGGGCAGTGGGTGGCATGACAGCTCTAATATTAGATATAATTTTAATACCTTACAACCTATTAAATCTTAGTTATCCCTCTCCCTCTAATAAAGAGAGGAACTCTTTTTTATTACATTAAAGAAATCTAATATGAAGTTCACTAAGAAGAATTTTGAAGTCAAAACATTTCTAAATAAAATAAAAATAAATATTGAATCTATAAACTATCAAATAAAATAGAAAAAATATAAGGTATATAAGTTGGGTCCGGTTAGACTGAGTTGATTATCGAGTTTTAAAATCTCAACCGATTACTTAATCTGTTATTTTTGTTTTTTTAGGTTTTTTGATCCACTACCATTTATAATATCCATATTATATAACTTAGATGAGTTGAGTTGGATCAAATAATTCAAATATTATAGCTGGACTAGTTTTTTTGAACACTCATACTTACAAGCTTCAATATAATAATTGGATTTTTGTTAATAATAAAAGTAAATTATATTGAATTGTCTAAATGTAATGAATATATAATCAACTTTATATAAATATGAACACTTACTGTAGAATTCAATTTTTTTGTTTGGTACAAACATATGGCTTTAAAATGGAGCTTCTCCAGGAAAATAAAAATGAAATGGAAGTAAGGTTTTAAAAATATTTCTATGCTCATTTTTTTGTATATATATGGAAACAACCTTGTGTAATTGCAAAAAGAACCAACAAGTTTTGTAGGCAAATATAATTTTATAATTAATTGGAATAGGTATCCTAATTATTAAAGATGATGGACTTAATCGATCTTGACACGGAAAAATCATTTGATTATTGTTTTAGGATATAAAAAATAAAGATGATTTTTTATTTTAAAAATATAAAAATTTACTTAAAAATTATTCTAAAAAATATATAATATATATTTTTATCTTTATCTTTTTAATAAAATATATTTTTATCTTCATTATCTTTATGTCTATGTTACCTTAAAAGCAAAAAAAACGAGGCCACAGGACAACACGCCTCACTATTCTCTCATATTTTGGAAACTATATCTGGAATTTGTATCTTTTCGTATATTGCCATCGTATTATTCCAATAAAAGGACAACAATACCCTTGAACGGAATAAATGGAAAGTGCATCGCTGGTAATCACAATCCCTTAAAATTAGCTCCAATAATAGTATATATAAAAAAAAAAAAACTTGGTCTGAGTAAAAAAAAATAGCTACAATTAAAAGAAAAAAAAGAATCATTCGCTAATGAAATCAAAATATTTTTCTATTTCCTGTTCAATTTGTTGATATAAAATAGGAAAATATTAGTTTTAAAATGTTAAAGCAGTATTTCTAAATGATCTTTGAACTCCATGATGTGATCAATAACCTCAGAAAATCGAATTAATAAATCATTTGATGGTCTAATAATATTGTGATTAACCAAGATCCATAAGAGTACGTATTCGTGGAAATAAACCAAGAAATTCATCACTAGGGCTAGATTAGGGATTTTCATTAATTCATGTTTATCTAGCAAACAACAATATATATATATCCTCACTTACTGAAACAGAATGTTCCTTTTAAACTAACAAGGTAGGATTACATGTTCCTTTTAAACTAATAAGGTAGGATTACCTCGGATGTTTAAGAAATTAAAAAAACATAAAAATTCAAAAGCAAGATCAAGAAAAATATAGTAAACTTAAACCCTATCAACAAGTTGGGAGCCCTCTAGATTGAATTTAATTAACAGGTTTTAATAAAATTCCTTATTTAATACCATTTTGAGTGTAAAGAATTGAATTCATCCCTAAGAATGGTACAAAAATAAATTACTACAAAAAGCAATTGATGTGAAAACTAACTATTTAAAAATACTTATATACCCATCTCATTGGAATGTTATGAATGCGATAAGGGTAATATATAAAAAAAAATGAATTTTAAATTTAACTTATATACCAATTAAATTTAAATTTAATACTATAATTAAATTTAATTAGAAATTTAAAGAGAGAGAGAGAGAGAGAGAGAGAGATTATGGTTTAAGTCTCATCTTACGCCATAAGCAAGAATTTTCCTTCCTCATTCCTCGTGGCCATCATATTTCAACAAATAATAGTGAACCTTATTTATTTTCATAAAAAAGGAAAATAATTTGCTTTTATTAATGAGGACTCGGACAAATGCAAGCGAGTGACTCCAATTTTGTTGTATAGGATCTTGAACTAGCTCAGCTAACCTAGCCTCTTCCGTTCCTCGGGACCAACAATAAAAATATACGTGCTTCTCATTTATCTGCGCCTTATTTGTTTTTGCATTTTAAAAAAATATAATTTTTTTATTTTTTTTCTTTACTTATTATTTTAATATACTAGTATCAAATATAAATTTTAACAAAATATTATTTTAACATATTTTTCAACAAAAAAAAAACATTTTTAAAAACAACCACGCATTTCAGCTTGATCTTCCATAGACAAACCTTGTGGAGGAACTCTTACGTTTTAGTTTAAAGGAAACATGGTCATGGATTACTGCTCGCATTATATTTACCAACCAAAATTTCCTATCGAACATTTTTCCGAGCAATTTCAGCAAGATTGGCTATAGTGGGGAAAGAAAAATGAGAAAACTGTCGTCAATAATTTCCCATGCTTCATCAATTACTTGTCTTCCTCTTCTTAAACTTCTTTGCATGAGATGGTACATCCTTATTTGACAAGTTCTCAGGGGCTTTTTGCTTCTTTCTATGCTGTTTAGAAGGTGTAGATTTTGCACTGTCAACCTTACCTTTGGAAGCGGCATCACTTGCTGAAGATTTCATCTTTGGCTTGTTCGGATGAGATTTCTTCTTTGGCGAGTTTGTAGAAGAACGTTTCTTCTTATTACTCTGTGGTTTACCAGGCATTGATTTTGGACTCTCGTCTTCATCGGAAGAAGAGTCATCCACTGATCCATCTTCGTCAGAACTGAGTACCAGGTCCTCCATGACATCTTCATCCAAAGCTACCTCTTCCTGGTGCTCTGCTTTTCTCTTCTTCTTTTTCTTCTCCTCCTTGGAAGGTTTAGCCCTGTAAACCAAGGTAGGGTGGTTCCCACTCATAAGAACTGAATCACATTCCAGTAAAACTGATTGAGTAGTAATCACTTTAACTGCATAAAAAAATCAGAAAATAAGGAAATGATGCATCAAATTGTTCATACCTTAATATATTTCCGTAAGAGAGCTGGAAAGGCAACTAAAAGCACAGATGAAAATTCGAGACGGCTTAAAGTAAATGATATCATCTGCGTGTCAGTGATTAGGTTCAAAACATATAGGGCATTTCCAAGATAAGACTTTGCCAGGTGGTTATAGTTCATCCATTTTTTTGTGTGCAGAAGATCATTTACAGGTTCTTTCTTCCCACCATAAGCAGGAAGGCCCAAGACATTACGAAGGATTCCATCCATTTCACTCAATACAAATAACATCACTTTATTGAATACACTGCTAGACATAATACTATACTTCGCTGAAGAATCACCAGCTTCATCATCACCATAGTGGCATGCAATTCTGAAAGCTTTCAAGAGTGAACGAACAGCACTCATTTTTCCACTTTCTCGGACAGAATTACACCAGGACTCAACCGTTGCAGAAGTAATAACATTATCGGATGGTTTCTCGTCCTCCTTTGCAATATCATGGTCCCTGCCTTCCTCATCTACTAGCATGTCTCCATCCCCCACATCTGCATCACCATCCTCCTGCACAAATTTGAACTCTACTATTGGGCCATTTGATTGTGCTCATCACATATAAAAAATAAAAATAACATGTACACATATTCTGAACACTCACCTCAAAATCTTCATCATCAAATTCTAGAAGCTCCTTGTCATGCTCTTCTAAGTACTTCAAAAAATCAGGATCCTGTTAAAAATTAATTTGTTAGCAACTTGTTCAAAATCAATAAAGCAGCATGGAAAACAGAAGATTCATTAATCATGAAGAAAAGTCATTCTTTATAAGCATTAACAAACTCCCAAATCCTTCAAATTCATATATTTCTATTCTCGAAATAATCAAGTGGAAAATCCAAGATCCAACATGAAAGTGAGAGCCACAACTACTCAAAACCAAGAAGTGTAGCTGCCTAACCTGCAACCGAAAAAATCTATCTCTAAAAAATCAGCTCCTACCATGAAAAAAAGCCATGCCATCCATCATTTGATAAAAAAATACTTGAGTAAAAAAACATAACGTTCAAGAACAAAGCATATCTAACCTTTTCCTTAAGTCTCTGCAACTGGTCTTTATGCTCTTTAGCAACTACTTTACAAGACTTCTTCGACATCCTTCCACTTCCTTCCTCCTCTTCCTCCATCCCCTCTTCATCACTTACCTCAGGCTCTAAATCCCAAACTGAAATCAACAATCACCAATAAACAAAAAACCCGTTAGCAGATACTCAAAAACACATCAACCAATTTGCAAAAACAAACAAAATAACCCCACCAACCCACCAAATAAAAGAACAAAAAAACCATAAAGCTTCAATCATTTCCAATAATACCATTTACAATGAAGAAAATAAAAACATTGGTTTTTAGCATAGTAAATACAGTAAATAAATCAACAATCTTAACCATGAAAAAACCATATCAAATCAAGATTAAAAGCACTAAACTTCACCATGAAAACCCAAAAAAACAGCTAACTATATAACACTGAGTGTGTATAAGAGAGAGAAAAACCTGGGTATTCAATGTCCATTTTGAAACTGACTATGGAAAGCTGCTCCTGTTGTTATCAAAAGAGAAATTTTATGCAGAAGAATAATTTGAGGAAAAGCGAAAACAAGTTCCTGTCTTTGATATTCACTGAGCTGCAAAAACCCCCATTTTTAGGTTATTGGGGGTTTTGTTTGTTATTCTTCTTTCCCTTTCTTTATTTGGGCCTATAACCTTGAAATATTAAAAAGAACTTGGATTAGAAAGCCCATCAAGAGAAAGTGGGCTTTGAATGATGCGGTTTTTATTGATTATTTTTTTATTTTTTCATTTAAATTAATTTTGAAATATCTAAGAAACAAGATGTGTATTATTCATAACCATTACACTAAGTTGACATACATAGGAATTATTGAATCTTTGAGTCTAACGCTACCTTTATTTTCGCTGTGTTTGAGAATGTTTAGTTTAAAAAACATTAAATTTATTTTTTTAGTGGGTTTTTTTAGTTTTAATGTATTAATATTAAAAATAAAAGATATATAAAAATAAATATTTTAATTAATTTTTAAGAAAAAAATTTAAAAATTACTCTTCACCACAATACCAAACAGGTATTAAGGATCTATTTAGTATTCTAGCATGATGTAGTTAGAAATGTTTTTAGACTTATTATAATTTTAAAAGTTATTTGATTTTCATTGTTTAAACATGTTTTTCATCTTAAATTGTGGTAAAAACTTAGGTTTGAGATAAGTTAAAATTTATAATTTTATTCAAGTCTCGCAAACATTAAAACTAACATAATATTAAATACTCAGTAAAAAACTTTTGCAAGAAAAAAAAAAGGTTATAGTTAAAAAACAAGGTACCAACATATATTTTTTTAACTTTTAACTTGTGCTTTAAAGAAATTGTATCTCTAAAAAAAGTTAACCTCATCTCACTAGAATATGTTTATTATTATGGTAGCTGTTATGATTTGAAAAAAATTATTTTATAAAAAGTACTTTTAATTGAGGTTGGTTTGGAAAAATATATATTTGGTTAAAATTATAGTTGAAATTGAAATTCAACAAGAAATAGTTTAATGTGTTTGGTCAAGAATGCTTTTAAAATTGAAGTTATAAAATAATTTTAAAAAACATATATTAATATTTATGATTTTTAATTTAAATATTATAGATTTAACTATTATTATGACATCATGAAATAAAATCATACTTTATATAAACAAATTATTATTTCATAAAACTATTTACAATTCCATTATATACAAAATTCATTCGACAAGAACTATAATTTTAAAAATTATTGTTTCATAAAATTATCTACAATTCCATTACATACAAAATTCATTCGACAAGAACTATAATTTTTATTATTCTTTGAGCATGCAATAAAATTAGATAAAATATTATTAGAAATAAAATTAAGATTACAGTATGAATAAATTTAATTCACCTTAAACTAATTTTTTTTAAAAAAATTAATATTCACATTTACGTAAACATTGTGAGTGAAATCAATAAATTGTACTGGTTTTTCAAAAAAAAACTATTAATTAAATGGTTTTTTGAAAAAAAAATGTTCGCATACAGTGCAAGTAAGTTAAAATTCACTCACACTGTTCACTGATTTTTCAAAGAAAAAAAATATTTACGAGAATAGTGTGACTGAGGAGGAATGGTGCACTGTTCACTGAACAGTGCAGCGCGATACAGCTGCAAGAAGCAACTTCTACCTGTTTTCTTTTTCCATATGTTTCAAACGTAATATTTTGTGGGATCCATGAATAATGACTTATGTTTTTTTTGTTATCAAATGTTGTTGCATCTGTTTTAAGCAAAACGCAAACACAACTTCTTAAACAAACATTATGTGCATCTTATTCCTAAAACCATACATAAATTTTAGGTCTAAATAACTAAGTAAAAAAGTTAATATAAAATTATATCATCTAATAATTCTTTATATTATTATTGTTATTGTTATTGTTAATGTTAGAAGTTGTTTTCATTGTTATAACTCAATTTTTTATTTTTATTTTGAAGAAATTAGAAATATTAAAAAATATATCTTTTCAATAAATTTATCTATTTTGTTATTTTGGTATTTAATTTTTGTGTTTCAAGGAATCTTGAAATAATAATAATAAAATAAATACAAAAAATATATGTAATTGGGTTGCAATTGAACCAATATTTGAAAATAATAAGCAGAAAAGAAGTTTGGAATCTTTTAAGTTATAATTGGGGTTTGAATTGAAGATAAAAGGGCTTAAATTGGTTGAATTTGGCTAGAATTGAAAATTTGAGGTTCAATGATGAGTTTGGAACAAATAGCCAAATTAGAAAATTAATTAAGAGGTTAATTAAGAGGAAAAATTGAAATTTAAAGTTAATCTGGCATAGAAATAAAGAATTGAAAGATCAAGGACCAAAATGAGTAAAGTGGAGAATCTAGAGGGCAGATGTTATTTCAGTTAGGGGGTGAATTGATTGAAATTAAAGGGCAAAAAAGGGTGGAAATTGACCAAAAGTAAAGAATTGAAGGACCAGAAACCAAGAAGTAAAAAGCTCCGGAACGGAGAGACTTGTAGATATTTTGCTTATAGCATTTAGGCACCTCATTCTTACCCTAATTCTTAGCCGAAAATAAACTTTGAGAACTCTGCATAACAGAAGAATCCCCTGCATTCTTTAGCCTCCCAAACTGTAGAACAGTATGCTATCTAGGGCTGCAAAATTCACCCAAAATCAGATTATTTTTCTAAGCAATAGCAATCACTTAGAGTGAAACTGCGTTGTTTTAGCTTCTCTAGCGTAAATAGATTTTTTATTTGATTTAACTGTGTCAAATTTTATTTAAAAACATAAACAAATATTAATTTAAAATAAAAAATAAAAAAATTCAATTTTTTTTTTAAATATTTTCAAAACATAATACCAAATATGTCCGGGTCATCAATTGACTTGATCTCTATATAAAATAAACTTACAAAAACATAATATTCCAATAATTTTAGCTCGCTAGATAGTTATGTCCCAAAATGTAAATAACATACCATCACGTTTGCTATAACATAACCTCTAATTAATTGCATATAATTTATTAAATCATTACATGATTGCTACGACATTAATCTTATTTAATTTATCCATTTTCTATTTCCACGCCTCATTGTTCAATTGACTGACCCCAGTCACATTCCATCTAACAATTTCTCGTAACATATTCATAGATTCCATCCAAACGATTGACTATAATACTAATAATCACGTTAGTCTTTGTTCACTTGACTAAATCATATAGTCTCTATTCAAATTGTGGACTATGATTGGACAAAGATTGAGGAGTTCTGTTTTTACCCTTTAATTTTTCTATATTTATTTATTTTTGTTTATATTTATATTAATACTCGTTTTTTCTTTTGTTTTATTTAAAAAACCCCTGTTAAATTATGATTATTTTTACAAATGCGGAGGCTTAATGATATCCCGTTTTATTTCTTTTGTTACTGTCGTGATTGCTGTAGAACAAGTGACTGTAATTGATTTCCTTTCTTCCCCCTAACACCTTTGTCCCAGGAGTAAATGCATGCCCACGTGAACCTGTAAAAAAAAAAAAAAAAGCGAGAGAGAGGCTGCTGAGCAAGTCTTAAGTTAATTTTTCTATATTAATTTTTATATTTATACTAATACTCGTTTGTTCTTTTATTTTATTTAGAAAACCCCTGTTAAATTATGATTATTTTTTTATACATTTAAATTTCAAAGAGATTTTCTAATTTATTTATATTTTATATAGATAGATTTTAATTTTAAAAATAAATTTTTTTCTTATAACAACCCTTTGACACCCTCCAATTCATTAGAAGACTTTACAAGAACAACGGGTAATTTGAAGTTTTTAACTTTGCCCCTGGGCCTTCAGATTCATCCTTGCCAAGCCCTAATTGACACCCTGCCAAGGTTGCTTGGAAACCATTATCGGTTCTGAAAAATGTTGTGTGTTAAATAGTATACTTGGTATTTTTATTAATGATTTTTTTAGTGTGTATTTGGGATTTTATTTTAGAAGTATTTTTAAAAATATTTAATTTTTTTATTTTAAATTAATATAGTTTTAATATTTTCAAATTATTTTGATGTGTTGAACTTAAAAATAATTTTTTAAAATTAAAAAAATATATTATTATTATATTTTTTAAATAAAAAATACTTTAAAAAACAACCATAACTACACTCTTAAACTTAAACATGTTATATCAAAAAGTAAATATATTTTTTATTAAAGAGGTATTCTCAGAGCACTTACTCGAGACCAAGTCTTATTCTCAAACAGAATATTATTAATACATCTCCCTTTATTCTCGCATTATTATGGGAGAAAGGTTCTATTAATTTTCACATAATATTTGCAGATTACCATATTATCTTCCATTAAAGCTCAGCCAGCAGGCTGATATCAACAGGAAATGCATCAGTCAATGACTGAACCCTGTATGCTCTCCTTCCCAAGATCAAAGCTCTAGCCTCTGTAGGATGTACCGAATCATAGTATGCATACTCAGTCCTATCAGGACATGGAATTGTAGAAGGATCACATAATCCTGTACTGGTTAAGTTGCAACAAGCAACTCTGGTGAACCTGAAAGCTGCATATAATATTATCCATAAGATTATAACAAACCAAATATATACATAGAATCAACAAGATAATAAAACTTGATTCCACTAAATGGCATGGTGTTAATAAAGAAAATGAGAGTTCACCTCGAGTTGATTCGGCATCAATCTGGTAAAAATTTATGTAAGTAAATTTAGCTCCAGGAAGATTGGCGTTAAGGTTTGTAACTAATGGTATAAGCTTGCTATTGAAGATTTGTACTGCGTTGTTGATCATCTCTACACATGAAGAGCCATTCGTACCATATGTTGCCAGTGCATTGGGCGAGCAACCACTCTGGATTAGTCCCACAACGGCCACCTTCCTTGCTCCAAGATCGTATAAGCTCTGCAGTATATAAACCATACATCAGAAGAAATAGAGAGATCTTAATATTTGTTTTTCTTTGAAAGTAAGATATATAAATGAGATAGAGATAAGACAAAATATAAATGTCTATACAACAGTGTTTTACATATAATTTATATACCTTTTCTATTATCTTCGTTTCTTTTATCCTCGAGATAGTGACTAGATACTTTATATTTTAATAAATAAGTATTTACACGTCGGAAATTGGAAGTAGTTGCATATAAAATTGTAACAATTACCTTTAATTGCTGAGAATATTGTTGAATGAGCACTGTAGCGTACTGGTGAACATTGAATTGCCTGCTAGTGTTATATAATTGGGGCAGGAAGTAATTCATTGTGTAGTCATTGGTGCCCATGTCAATGGTGTAAATGCACTTGTTTAGGTGCTTCATGGCTGCATCTTTACTTCCCAGTACTTCAGTGATGAGTGAAATTATGATACGGTGATTTTGTAACTGCTCATCCAGGGATATCACCTCACCCTAAATACCCAAAAGAATAGAAACATTTTACAATTTTTTAAATAGCAATCAATTCGATAGCACATTTATTAAAACCGGTCTTGCTTGGTATCATCTTAGAATTCATTTGATCCGTTTTTATACGTGTATTTAAAAGTATAATTATAGTTATTTTTTAAAATATTTTTTATTTAGAGATATATCAAAATAATATTTTATTATTTTTAAAAAATTATTTTTAATATCAGCATATTAAAATTAAAATAATCTAAAAATATTAAAAAAATATTAATTTAAAGTAAAGAAATAATTAACATATGTGCATGTTGATACTATGCTCATGCTTAATGGTTTCGTGTTATTTTTTTCTTAAATGCAAGAACTTTATCAAATTAAAACTTTCTTATTATCACAAAAATTATACAAATTAGTATTATCTTTGTGCTTAATTAGCTAGTATGAATAAATGCAGTTACCACTGCTAATCGTCCACTTTCATTGCGAATCCCAGCTGATCCAGATGCGTAATTTACACCTCTTAATATATTTTTTGTAGCTTTTGCTTCATTGAAGGTTGGAATATAGTCGTCAAATCCCAAAAGCTTAGCTGTAACAAAATAGTATCGATGAGTTAGTATGATAATTTATGCTATGCAACATGATATCGATTTAAATACCTAGGTTATTGATTTAAGACATAGTTTTGAAACCCTATCCTATGTTCATGTCATGGTTAGACTGGTCAATTCACGGATGAGCGAGTTGGTCTGAATTTATTATTATTATTTATTTAAAATAATGTCATTTAAAGGAAAACAAATTCCATACCCTCACTCTCCCTCTTGTAATTGTCTCTCCCCTCTCTCTCTCTCTCTCTCTCTCTCTCTCTATCACAGATTGGCTCTCTTCTGCTGCTTGCTGCTGAAATCAATTCACCGAATAGGTGCCAGCCCATTAAATAGCTAGGTTGTCTCCAAAATTAATCGAGCCATGTGTCAATATGTTAACGAGTCGAACAACCAAGTCATTCTAGGTTTCAGAACTAATTTTAAGGTATGTGTGGATAACAAACTATCTAAAAATAATAATAATTATTATCAAAGATGTAAACGCGTTAATTACTAAGAATATTTGATATTTCAAATATTAACAGGTAAATTATTAATGAAAAGAGAAATAATTATAGTTAGTATTAGGATAAAAAAGAAATCAAATTATATACTCATGTAAGTAATTAGAGGGGGAGGAAGAAGGAGACCAATGACATCGGCTGTATTGTTGCCATTGCTAAACCTTCCGGTAGGTCCTTCGCTAAAGTCAAACCCATAAGGAGTATAATTGGCTTTTGCCAACGTCGAAAGATTGTTGTTGTTTCCATTATCAAAGAGTGAGTCCCCAAAAACAAAGTAACATGGCACTTGAGGTTCTCCATAAGCACAATTCTGCAAGTTTGAGATCAGCAATGGAATGGTGAAGATCCACCATAGCATCTTAGGCTCATTCTCCATTAATGAAAACTGAATTAGCTACAAGTGATTGAAACTAGATAAAGAAAGAACGAAGGGTGATGATGATCTGAATGAAGAAGTTAATAGACGAGAGTGTTGTTGAGAACTGCAAGCCCAAAAATTGCTGATTTTATAGGCCTGGAGATGTGGCTGTTATAGACTAAGTATATATATATAGCTGGTTATCCTACTCCTGGCTAGGTGCATGCATAATTTGACTTCAACGCTGGAAACTGATTTTAATATTGTTAATGGATATATTTGAAGGTAAATTAATTAATTACTTAAAATAATTTATTCTGTTTATGCAGTAGGGGACTGTCTATTACAAGATGAGGAAGCTCCTTTACCTGCCATTTTATAATATTGTTGTCTACTAGAGTCTTTTTTTTTTTTTCCTTTTATTGTCGAATTATAGTGCTTTAGATTCAGTTCGAGTTTATCTTCTAGCTTGGAGGCTTTGAAAGATGGTAAAATCAAGGAATAGTTGTTGAGAACCACAAGCCCATGAATGGCTGCTTTAATAGTCATGGAGATGTGCTTGTCATAGACTAGTAGCTGGTTATTCTACTCTTTGCTACTTAGTTGAGGGAAGTGCCCAGAAATTTGAAATTTTAATGCATAATTTGACTTTAGAATTGGAAATTGATATTAATATTAGTTGGATTGCAGGAAGGTACTTAAATTTTAAATATTTTTATATTATTTTAATATATTAATCTCAAAAAAAAATTCTAAAAAAATTTAAAATATATTATTTTAATATATTTTTAAATAAAAATACTTTAAACTATAACCACTATTATAATCTCAAACAATCACTAGTCTTACCAATTATAAATTCACGGTTAAGAGTTGGAAAGTAAAAACTTTCCTAGCATACTGTTAAAATAATAAAATAATCTCAACGATAAAATATTTTAATATAAATGAAAAATAAATCATTATGTAAGCAACTAAAATAACAAAGTTTGAACAAAATAAAATTAAATGCTTTGCTATTTCTTTAAAAGAATTAAAGGCAACTTGAACTACAAACACACGCAAAATTGATAGTTGAAATCAACTTCGTTTTCTCCAGAACCTCCAAATATCACTAACACAATTTGCAACATACAACTATGATAATCAACATCAAAGAAGGAGTTGAATCCAAGACAAAAAAGTTTGGTATATTGTGAGAAGAAGCAATCACTCGGTCAAAGTTATGTACCAGCCTTTTGTACAGAATTCTTTGTCCAGTTATATCTTCTTTCTCTCTTTTTTTATAGAAAAGAATAGTACCACCAAAAAATTGAAGTATTATCTTGGCTGTTATTTCATGGTGGAGCAAGCAACTGGGATTCCCGTACAAGAATGAATTTAATTGATAATTTTTCGGTAGGCTGTCCCTTTTGTTGGACCTTTGAATCCACCTTTCTACTATTCTAGTTGAACTATTCATGCCAGATATCAACCAACGCAAGTTTCAGGTATCCTGAAATATGCCCAACAAAGGCCAACACCTTCTCAAGCAATTTTTATGGGCTTCTCAGGAGAATGCCAAGGTCTTTATCATCAATAGCCCAACAAAGTCCGGATGACAACCACAAAGCCTTCATCTGCCAAGCATCTTTTTCGAAGGCCGAAGCTTTGGGCGGGCATACGAGCTCCCATGCTAAGAAAAGGAAGATTAAATTTGAGTATTATAAATTTTAAAATTATTAAAAATTTATATAATTATTAATTTTAAAATTTATAAAATTACTTAAGATATATACAAACTAATCTAGATATTTATATCAGTAATAATAAAAAAAATTTAAAAAACTCCAAGTAGCCAATTTCTCGAGTTAAGATTTGTTTCAGAATTTAGAAGCTTATCACCAGATTTTAAAGATGAGTTCATTATTATAATAAGTGTTGATTTTTTAAGGATGAAAATTAATAAATATCTTAATGTTCATTAATACTGAGTTGTAAAGGAGAATCTAGAATTAAAAAATGATATTCATATCAATATTTATTCCTTTACTTTGCTAGTATTATGGTTTCAGTATTTATTATGTATATTTTGTTAAAACTACAACATCAATTATGCTAAATAATTGACCAGGTCAGCTTTGTTTATTTGTTTTTTTACAGTTTGTTTAGTTTAAATATTACTTTTCTATTTTTAGTTAACAATCCTAAGCTTTGATATCATAATAAGTTAGTAAGAATTATTACAGAGATAAACAAAAAGCGAACATAATTAAAGAAAGATGCTGTAATATAATGGAAGAAAAGAATGTTTTTGTGTTTATTCACTGTTTACATTCCCAGTACTATTATATTTATTTTATATGAACTAAATATGAGAGGTTTAATTATATAATCTAATTAACAATATTAAATAACAAATTTTATTAACGGTCTAACTATATTAATAAATTTGTTAATTATGATATTTTTTATTTTCATGACAAGTGGCAGTAGGTTCTTGGAAGACCTTGTTAAGGATATCATGGTCTCTATCCATTGTTGACAAAGCTTCCTGAGCCATTCCCATTCAGAGGAATCATGATGTGGCAATTCAGGGTGAGTGTGTGCTGGAAGAATGCGATCGCGATAAGGAAGACATTGCTAATAACTTAATAAGTAGTGGTTCCAAATAGATTACATTTGCTATGAGAGTTGTGTTAAATGTTTTTCCTAATTTATTATGTTTTATGTGATTTCATTCATAAATTTAAATTTTAGTTATGGAAGTGACGCACATGAATATTGATTATCTATAAATATAATTTTTTTAGTTAATATTTTTTTAAGATGCTATGAGAATACTATTAAAAACATTTCCTGATTAATTATTATATTATTTCATTTATAAATTTAAATTTTAGTTTTGAAATTTGTGCAATTCTTTTGAGAGATACATTAGATTTTTTTTTTAGATTAGCGTGGGTGTTCGGGCCAATTTACGCGCACCACGACTAATCCCACGGGCCCTGAAGTTAACGATCATGTAAGCCTCCGGTGGCCATCATATGAGCAACCAAGAATTCGAACCTGAAACCATAAATGGAGCAAACTCCTTGATCCCAAATCCTTACCACTTGACCACCACCTAGATGGTTGAGATACATTATATTCTTAATTGGCCACAAAAGGATACACAGAAAGAATATATCTGAGAAGATCCACCTAACACCTCAAGGCATTAAACAGCTTTACGTTCTGCAATAACTCCTTTACCATCTATTCCAAGAAGGGAGGATATCCTCCCCCTTAATTCTGATGGCTCGTTTTTAGTCATATGTCTTGCATTGACGAATCTGAAGTTTGTATAGGCATGGCATGCTCGTGGCACGACCTAGCACTAGCAATGTTTGTTACGTGAAATAAAAAACATAAATAATAATCCCATTTAACGGAACTTTTCTTTTCTAATTTCCGTCAACTCAACTTGGATTCCTTTTATAAATCTATCACGGTGTCAAACAGGTGTTTAATCTGTTTGTGTGTGTGGTGTGATTGATAAACAAAAAAGTATTTTGATGCGACTCTATTAACGCTAGAAAACAATTTTCCAATTAATAACCTTCGGTTTACGAAGAATTATCCTTCAAACATAAAAGGAAGTTTGAATATATTTGTGGTATTAGTTTTTTTATTCAAAGCAGTAATTCAATTAGCAAATATTTAGTTAATTTTTAATTCAAAGCAAGTAATTCGAATATTTAGTTAAGCTTTCGCATCTGCTTAGCAAGACTGGATTCGTTTTTATCATGTAATAATGATTTTTTTTTTTTGTACTTTTTTTTTTAATCAGTCAAGCTCCCCAGTCTCCCCTTCCCACCCAAGAATGGAATCAAACCGAACGGGGAGCTCTTAAGTTAGAGCCTTTGTTGATTCCTCCATTGTGGTTCACCACAAGGAAGATGAATTCCTCTACTCATCGCAACCCTCGCAGCCACCTTAGCTCGAGAGAAGTCGGTACTAAGGCCAAGAATAAATCTATTGCATCAAATGCAGTGACAGTAACTGAAGTGGTGAAAACCACACAGGTTGTCTCTTCACGCCCAAAGCCAAACCTATTGGTCGGGCATGCGGGTCTCCCTGACCTTAATGACTCGGTATTCATCCGCCACCAGGATCGGTGGATCCTGCATAGCAGACATTTGTATGCGTCGCACTCCTCAAGTCACTACACATAACAGAAAGTATGTCACGGAGAAGGAGAAGAGTTGCAGCAAGAAATAAGAAGAGGTCTCTCCAGCTCGTTCAATCACCAGATGGGATAACAGTTATGCCTGAAAATCTTTATGCTCAAGGAGTTGGAAGACGGGGCAGACAGAACCTTGGATCCTGGTCAACCAGGTCAAGCTGGGCCGAGCCGACAAGCAACTGCAAATGGTGGTGGGGAGGCTCTGATAGAAGTGGAGATCCAGTGGGAAATGTATATAGTGTGGCTTTTTTATGATTATATTTTATTAAAGATTAAAATAATTGAGGCTGCCACCCTTTTTAATGTTCTTTTCCTAGTTGTTATATTAATAATAATGCAGTGAACTTTATGTTTAATTCTTTGAATTTGGATTTTTTAATGTATCTTTTTTAAGTTTAATTATGTTTTTTTAATTGCATTTATAATTAGTTTAAATTTTAGTTATTAAGTATGCTTAAACTCAAAATTTTATATTAATAGGTTATAAGTGGCCCTCTCCATTATATATTTACGTTAATTAAAAAAATAAAAATAGAAAAATGACAATGAGTAAAAAATTAATATTTTATCATTCTTGACAAGGCAAAAATCAAAATAAAAAATCATAACAACATATTAGAATTGTTTTTGGATATAATTAATTAATAGTAATTATACCATATCACTGTCTATTTTAGTTTACCGTTACATCACCATAATCACCACAACAATCACTAATGAAAACTCCATAAAAATACTTATATTACCATCACTTTTCAATGTACAAATGCTATTTGATTTCTTTAATATTTTCTCATTTTGATTCATCTGTTTCCGTTCCAAGTTTCTTATTCTTATTATTCAAATACTCTCTTAGTAGAATTCAGCTTGAGAAAGTGAAACTCTATGTAGGGATATTGGTTTTATGTACGGGTGGGGAAACAAGGAAAAAATATTCTTAACTTCTTAAAACTATCATTTTCCAAATATTGTTTTGAATAGCAATATCATGAGCTTTTTGTTTCGAACAATAATTTCATCTTTCATATTATAATTTATATTTTACAAGGAATCCTTTTATGTCTGATTATGCTTTTTTTATTATTTCATTTATAAATTTAAATTTTAGTTATGAAATTAAATAGCAGTTAATAAATTAACCCACATAAATTATGGTTCTATACAAATTCAAGAATTTTTTATTGAGTTAATGTTTCTTACTATTCCAAGAGAGTTACATTAAATTCTTTTCATGTTAAAGTATTTTTTTTTCAAATTTACATTTCAAATTAACAGTTCTGACCGTTAAAAATTTAAATTTTAGTTATGAAGTTGGCGCATATGAATAACACAGTTATGTATAAATTTAAATTTCTATTTTAAGTTAATAGTTTTGACAATTATAAATTTAAATTTTAGTTATGAGATTGACGCGTGTAAATAACAGTTATGTATAAGTTTAAATTTTTGTTTTAAGTTAACAGTTCTATAACCATTACAAGTTTAAGTTTTAGTTATAAAATTATTATATGTAAATTATAGTTATTAACGGTTCTTGTTGTAATGATATAAATTTCTACCTGTATTTTGAAAAATAAAATACCATAACTAAATTAATGTTCACTTGTGATCTAAATTAGATTTTATAAAAAAGATTAGATTTAAATTTCAATTATGTCTTAGCATGCATCTTAGTCATAGATGTTCCTAGTCATATTTGATTAAAAATAATGGCATTTAACTAAATTAATATATATATATATAGCTGACCAACTCTAATTATTATGAATTTTCATTATTTTTAAAATAAGAAAACCTAAATGATTAAAATATCCACCTCAATAAGAGTTTGATATTATTGTGCAAGATATTTTTTACTTGAAAATACATTAAATAATTTTTTTATTTTTTATATCAAAATCATTAAAAAACTTTAAAAATATCAATTTAATATTTTTTAAGCTAAATGCATTTTTGAAAAGCACCCAAACAGGAAAATAAATGGTGCTTTAGTATGAAATAACCTTTACAACTAACTTTATAATTTAGTCGCAGCTACTATGATTTTAAATTTTTATATTTATTTTTTAAATAGGAAAAAAATTATAAATAAATATTTGCTCCAGATAAAAAATTAATAATAGCGGATTAATGTAATTAGTTTGGTGATTTCTCATGTAATTAAACAATCCTTTCCTTCATTTTGAGAGTTACACATTAAGTTCTTGGTCACAAAAGGATACACAGTATATATCTCACAAAAGGATAAATATATATCTCACAAAATCCAGCAATACCTCAAAGCATTAAATAGTTTTTCGTTTTGCGATAAATGTTTTGCCATCTATTTTCGAAATGGCTAGATATTCTTCCTTATTTGATGACTCGTTTTTAGTCATTTTGCGCAGACGAATCTGAAGTTCATATAGCACGGCATGCTCATGGCACGACTTACCAGTGTTTTGTTCTTGAAGATGACATATATTTTCCTATATAATGGACTTATAGTTGATGAGCGTAATGCACCTCGCAAATTGAGCCTTTCGATCACTCCTTGTAATCTTCTTCTCGAATTTCATTGCCCTCACATAGCTTTCTCAGCCCTCCCCTTATGGCGAGCAACAACTTCAATGTTTCAAGCAGTTCCATTGTTCATGAGAACAGTCTTGTTCTCTCCCTCAACTCCAATTTAGCTCAAGATCATGTGGATGGGCACGGCAGAATCATCCCACAGAGCCTTGCTCCAACCATTGCTGTCCAACCAAACAACCTTTTTGTCCCTCAAAGAGCTGGTCTTGGCCAAATTGCTATGGGCCAAAGGTTGAGCGAAGTAAGGAGAAATCATGTTTCTTCGTTGAGTGTGAGGATTCATACTATCATTGAATACCTCCCAACTGAACAAAATCAAATTGAAGCTCTTCCCCTTCACCCAACAAGTGACTATACTGTTACTGAAATTCCAAGAACCACCCAGTTTCTTCCCCCAGCCTCACCTAGGGAGCTTATTGTTGCTCCAAATCACAACAACGTCCATCTCCAAAGCCTGAATCCAAATGGTGGTTTTCGCATTCAAGGCCAACCCAATTTCCAAAACCACAACCTAACCATGTCCAATCAAGTGAATCAACACAATGCTTATCTTCCATATAGCCCCCCAAACCGACAAATGATCAATTTTATGAACCTTGATCATCTTAATCATAGTCATGGAAACAATGACGGAGTTGTTTTGAATCCTGAACCTTTGAGTGTCTATGCACCACCTGGAATATCTTGGGCTCGAAACCCCAACCTAAATCTTGGCCAGAACCAAAATCTTGAAACCAGCCAATTTGATATTGATCAAGTGAGAATAAATCCAAGGGACGAAGCGAGAAACATCCCTGACAACCAAAGCAGCACAAGTTCTGAGGATGAAGAAGAAATGGGTCTTGATGATGGAGTAACTCATAGCCTTCCTCATCAGAAATACGGGCCATACATTTGCCCTAGATGCAAGAAAATATGCGAAACTTCACAAACTTTCGCGGCTCATATGCTAACACACTACAGAGTCGAAAACAAGGAACAAAGGAAGAGAAGGCTAGCAGCCAAAAACAAGAAGAAGAATCTTCACCAGATTCATTCACGTGGCAATGGACTGACAATATCGCCTTTGGGTACTGAAAATCTCCAGGAGGTTCATTCACGTGGCATTGGACTGACAATATCGCCTGTGGGTACTAAAAGCAAGGTTCCATTGAAGGTGTATGTGAGGAGAAAGAAGGCTGCAGGTGGGAAGGCAGAAATGGCGACTAGCAAGAGGGTTGTGGAGGATAAGGCCCAAAAAGGACAGGGAAATACTGTCCTAGACGAAGCAAGCAGCTCGTCTCCCGTCGGATTGGTGAACAAGGGGGTACCCATGTAAGCCTTCACCAAAAAAGCAATATATTTATATACATGGAATGCATTAGTGTTCTGTACTCCTTTGAATTCAATAAATAAACTTTGGATTTTCATTTATCATTTTAAAAGATGAATGTTTATTAAGTGTTAGAGAATAATATAAATTATATTTTGGAGACTCACTTAATAGCTTAAATTTTTAGGTGAGATAGTTCTTTGATATGGTATCAGAGTTTCGATGATCAAGCAGTCACAAGTTTAAATCTCACTATCCTTATTTATTTGATAAAAATTAAGCATAATGTAACGTGGGTTTGTGTAAGTTTTAAGTCCAAATGGCTTTTACTTGAGAGGATATGTTAGAGAATAATATAAATTATATCTTGGAGCCTCACCTAACAACTTAAACTTTTAGGTGAGATGGTTCTTTGACATTAAATAATTTAAAATTTTAAGAATAAAATAAATTGGTGATGATTAATTTTGATGTTTATCAATGAACATACTAGAATTTTGGTGCCAAAATTTTTAAATGTATGTCTTAAGAATTAGATTCTATATTTTATTTTTGTATATTAAATTATAAATTTGATGAGTTGGATTTATAATAGGCTCAAAACATATATAGCTATAATCAACAATAGCAGCACGGTTTACAATTTTAGAGGTCATTTCCTTTGAGAATAAAATAATATATACCTTAATTAGGGATAGTTTGAAATATAAATTAGAATATTTTAAAAATTTTCTGACGGAATTACCGTTTTTAAGTTCCACCACCAATTCTGCTCGTCGCTAATTACTAATGAAACTAATTTAGCAGTGGAATTTTTCCGGAATTTAGCGACAAAGGTAACTATAATCCTGTCGCTAGTTACTACTTTTCTCGTAGTCTTGGGAGTTAAGGGAAAGATATACTACATGCATTAAGCACATTTTTCTTACATAAAGACCTAGCTAGCAAACAACTCCATGTGATACTTCCTTTTATTTTGGTAACCACAGTGTTAGAAATACTAAATAGTATTGCCAATCTCATTCCACATTACTGCCTCTATGTATGGGAAGACTTGATATGGGAGTTGACTGTAGCAAGTTCTAGGTTAGGAGAATCAACAATTTGAGAATTAGATTTTGATCAAATTTAAGATTATTTTTTTTCCAATCTAAACCGGTTTAAGTTCATAATTAACTAGGTTTTGTGTTGATAACTATATCTCAAGATATAAAAACTCTAAACAAATATTGTCTTAACACTCAATTTTATGATTATACATCTTATATATTCAAAAAATGGATATATACAAGTAACATTTCAACCCAAAAAAAAAAAAAATATAGGATTCACAATCAAGTACCCAAATATTTTTTTGTCTAAATTGAGATTTCAACATTGCAAAAAAAATTCAATTGAGTTCTTTCATCTATTTTTGTCGACAATTCTTTCAAATTATACTCTTTGCGTAAAAGAAAAAACACCATAGTTTGGAACTCAATATTTTCTTGAGAATATGTGAAGACTTTGGTTTGGAAAGTTTTGAAAATCTTTGGAGACATAATTGAGATTTAAAAAAAAAAAACTTTGAGAACTGTATAGCCTCTTTGTATTATAGTTTGAGGGCTAATTTGAAGTTTGCTCAAAGAATAATCACTGAGACTTTTGGAGAACCGAGTAATACATACCAAGACCAGACAGCATAACTATTTATATCAAGTATCGAAAAATGTCCTCCAATATTGAAGAGCTAGTGTTGGCATCATGTGATCGGTCTTTTATATTTAAGAGAGAAGTAGGCAAGTCATAGTTCCTGAACTTCAATCCCTTTGGAAACAAGAGAGCAATGTGAACTCTGCAAGTTTAAATGGCTGTATCAGAAATGAAGCAGGTTCAGAATATATTTACAGGGGATGAATTCACGCCAAGCATTCATAAGACAGAAAGGTTTTTGGCTTCTGATAATTTGACTGTTTAAAATGGCACTGGCTTGCCTTGAGGTTTTCTCGGTATGATGCTCTGCCAGCTCCCTCCAGATTTTGATGACAACAATCAGATTATCTGACCCTTTTACAAGTTTTCTTGCTTCGGTACTCAACTATCGGCAACCAAGTGGAGACCAGAATGTTGCTATTAACCACTGAAGTTTCTGACGTGTATGCGAATAAGGAATTCGAAAGCCGGAGAAATTGAGAAATTTTAATGTAAGTGGATGGATTTTTTTCCTAACAAGCTAAGGATCTTCTCCAGAAATGATGGCATGTAGCTCCTTTGCTGTCCATGTTACTTCAGCAAGGCTTTGTAGTGGAACCGAGATTTCTTCTGCAATTATCATTAGCAGACTCCTGCATTCTGCAGCAAAAAAAAAGCATGTTATATCATACTTAAACTCACTATTCTAAGAACAAGAAATCACAAGGTGATGGAGCATCATCTGTCATGATATGCCTGAGAATCCAAAAAGAAATACTGGAAGTGGAAAATATCAGCAGTAACTTCTTCCAGGGCTTTGAACTTTAGGGAGCAACTTTTAAGCTTGTACATGATAGCCTCATAGTTTACCATATCGCTGGAATGGATAAAATATCCAAAGGAAAGTTACTAACCTGGATTTTTACTGAGATTTAACAAGGACATTGAAGCAAGAACTTGGTGCTCAATCTGCTCGTCATCTTCCAAGATTTCCTCGAGTCCGGAGATGAGAGTGGGGAAGCCAAAGAGCTGGAGCTCCGAATCCGGTAACAAAGAGATTCCACAGCTTAACCATGCAATTGTGGTTAGGCATGCCCTCACTAAATCCAAGATTCCTGAACTTAAGCACTTTGATATGGTCTCTAAAATTGACATTTTGCCATTAGCAAGCAATGATTCTGCCAAGTTCCTCAACCATTCTTCACTGGACTCTTCTTCATCTTCCTGTTTTTCATAATAAATGAAAACAATTATAAATAACATCAAAAACTTCGTGTTTGTACTGAACTTAATAAACTCAGATACTGAATATATAATCAATATAAGAAGATCATTCAGGAGAACCAACGTACCGGCAAAAGAGGATCATCGAGAAGTAAATTATCTTCTCGAGAATTTACTTCATGATTTTTATCAAACCCTGCTTGCTTTAGGATCCAACTTTCTGTTGATGAGTTCCCAGAAGCAGAAAAAAAACCCCCCAAGACATTAAGTGCTCTGCAAGACTGTTCCCGGACCTTCTCATCAGTTAAGCTACTTTCCAAGGCCATTGAAATGGCATCAACGGCTTCCTTTCTGTAGATGCTATACTTCCGAGGTTCAACCTGCAAAATAAAATCATCATTAAAAACATAGTCAAAGTTCTGAAGTGGCTGTCCGGATGGAGGGAAGTGTTCGAGGAGCACACCAGAAGATCCAAGTGTAAGATCAGAACAGCCACCAAGGGTTCCTCAGCTGGAGAACTCTGAAGATAGACGAGTAGAATGTCCATCGCATGCACTATTGTCTCACTAGATAAGCCACTTATAAATTGTGTAACCCCTTTCCTCCTGTAAATAATATCTGTTAAATGTCTTTGATCTTGCTAATAACCAAGATTAAAGTAGGAGCAGATGATTCAAAAAACAAATCATTGGCAAACCAGGTCATCAAATATGTATAGAAACCCACTTTTCCCTTCCTTGAAAACTTACCCAGGCAGATAATTGCAAATGCACAAGTACACACACATGCACAAATCAAAAGAAAACACAAAGAAGGGAAAGATTGTCTCTTCATCACTTCCATAGTTCATCTACAAATGTTTAAACTGCACAAAGTAGCACAGGAAGTATTAAAAGCAGCTCAAGTAGCATTCATTACCAACCTGCTCAAACAAACTAACTCAATCAACAGACATACAACATTTCTCGCAGACTTTGATTGGTTGCTGTAGAGTAACTCGAAGAGACATTGTTTATCAATCTTTATAGCTATATGGTTTCTGCAACTTGACTCTGCCTCAATACAATATGATAAGAGAGCTGCAACCAGAGTTTTCTCTTCCAAACTACCAAATTCAAACCTTTTAATAAGAAATTCCAGGACTCCAAGAGAAATGAGGAGTTTGGCATTTGTTAATCTTTCCTCCCTACTGGAAGAAGCAAGAAGCTTCTCAAGTATGAATAAAGCATTTTCATTCCTTTGACTTGAATCATATGCCTCAGAGTTGCTGAATGTTTGAGATGCAAAAGACAATAGGTGATTACATCGCTCCAACTTCCAACTATCGATCATACGCTTCAAAATAAAGTTGGTGAGTGGTATAGTTGGACATTCTAAAGTTTTTCCTGTTATGGGACATGTTCTGTTTCCCTGATTAAACCATTTCCTGATGGCTTCTCTCTCAAAGGTTTGACCAGTCTCCAGGGTCACTGGATCATCAAACAACTGTCTGGTGAGAGGGCAAACAAAGTCCTGTGGAATGCTTTCAAAAATGGATCCTTCATCAAAATATTCATGACTTCCATTTAACCCTGCACTGGGAGAGTGCAATATAAGCATTCAATCAACATTTTGTAAGGGGAGAACTAATCTTAAGATGTCTGACTCACCTTCGATAGAAGCGCTTGCGTTGATTGCCTGCACCTAACATGATAGTCAAAGAAACTATTAGAGAATTTTGTAGGATTGTAAAATGCAGAACAGTCAGGAATTCTGTATATTTTGCCAAGAAAAGTGAGAGCACACCTTTTTGGAATGTGAAAGGTTTGAAACAGTGAGATCACCAGAATCCTCAGTTCGTTGAATTTTGAAAACCGATTTTGCTAGGGTCTTGAGGGTTAGCTCATTTTCTTTTGTATGTGAAGATGAATTTAGCATATGAGAGTCTCCAGCAGATACTTGCCCTGCACTGGATTTTCGAAAGTCGTCTTTAAGATCTGTGTCTGGTGAAACACTCACATTAACCAGCTTCCATTCTTTGTCAGATGCTGATAAGAGCCCATTATCCTGCAGAAATGTTAAAATTCTTGAGAGCATGAAAAAAAATTGCAGAGAGAATGTGAGAGGAATAA